CTGATCTGATCTACGGGGATGTTGTTTCCATACGGATGTTCCAGACGCTTTTATAATGTGAGAAAAACAGATAGTGAATAGTGAATCTAACATGTCAGCCTTTTACAAATATCTTCCCCGTTCTCAGCATCAACATAGTAAACCAGGCATGGGACTGGTTAAGCAATAATTCAATTAGCTCAGGATAAAAATGGATTCAGAAGGCTGCGCTTGTGAGTTTGAGGTACAGCGTGTTCTTTTGTTTTTAGTTTTTTATTATAATTGAGTAATAATTTAAAAGAATCCTTGAACACAAATTTGCTCTTGCTATCAAGTCTAACAAGGACATCTAAGAAATTTTGGAGAAGTACCTTTAACAGTGTAACATCTGCAACATTGTTTCAACTTTTATTTTAGAACAATTTTTCACTGTGACTATATATCAACAAAACGCAGACACCTGATGGTTATTCACCATCAAAACATTTGCTGGGCAGTTTCTCATAATGTCATCATCTGTTTTATAAGGTGTTGATTTAATGTACATTGATTTCGACATTTCCAGGCTCAAGTGTTTCTGCTGTCACTATCTTAGCTGCAAAACACAAAAAATGGATGGGTCTGACTGTGCATACTGGGCCTACAGAGAGGAGGTTCAGGATCTGAAGAGATTGTGTGACAACAACAACCTACATCTGAACACAACCAAGACCAAGGAGATGGTAATCGACTTCAGGAGAACAAAGTGATCTGAGTACTCCACCCTCTACATTGATGGAAAGGAGGTAGAAAGAGTAGAAAGCTTTAAGTTCCTCAGGGTCCACATCTTGGCCAACCTTACCTGGTCCACAAACATTTCCCACCAGGTAGAAAAAGAACAACCAAGGATGTACTTTCTTAGGAAGCCCAAATACCCTAAAGACTGCTAATTAACTTCTACCGCTCCGCTTATCTTATAGTGACTAACGAGTTGACAGAAAACACATTGGGTAATGAGAGTGCAGTTTCATACTCCAGATAGTACGACTAGCAGACTTCATTATTTTCATTGAATTTAACCCTAAATAAATGAAAGGAAAAAAACCAAACAAAAAAAATCAGCAGGTAGACATTTACAGATGTCAAGACAGTAAGCTGTTTTCCTATTTTCTATAGGACAGTATGTCTGTGAAGGTTCTCAGTCATCCAGGTCATCGTAGTCCAAGGAGCTTGCAAAGAAAAGCGTCTGGACTTCTTTAAGTTGCTTGAAGACGTTTCACCTCTCATCCGAGAAGCTTCTTCAGTTCTAAGGTCAAATGGTGGTGAGTCCCAGATTTAAACCCAGTGGGAGTATCCCCCCAAAGAGGGACAAAAGGACCCCCTGATGATCCTCTAATCACCTGAGCCAAGGTGTGAAAATGGGTGTGGGTCCCAATCAACCAGGGTTTCGGGTGAGCTCATTATGAAGCCTGGCCCCACCTTATCATGCGATTTCCTGAGGTCAGATGGCCCAGGATGTGAGTGGGCGTTTGAGTTCCCTCCCGAGACGCCTTAACGCCCACTCACATCGTGGGGGAGCACCTGCTTCAAGTTTGAGACAATTTACTACCTTAAGTGGAGAGGTTTAAGCATCTCTTGTTCACGAGTGATGGGAGAGTGGAGTGCGAGACTGACAGACGGACTGAGGTGGAAGCTGTACTGATCTGTTGTGGTAAAAAGGGAGCTGGTCAGGTCCTGCCCTCACCTATGGTGAAAGGTGTGGGTAGTGACTGAAAAAAATGATGCTGCGGATACAAGCAGTGGAAATTAGTTTCCTTTGAAGAGTGGCTAGACTTTCTCTCAGAGGGAGTTTGAGTAGAGCTGCTGCTCCTCCACATCAACAGGAGCCAGTTGACATGGTTTCAAGCATCTGATGCCTCATGGTAGCCTCTTGGCAAACCACAACAAAATATGAATGGCACCACAGAGTCAAACATGGTGCCACATGAACTGAAGACCCAAAAAAAACCCCAAAACAGATTTGTCCTTCCTTTGGAGAGCTGCAGATTTGGGGGTTCAGTCTATATAGCGGAATAATTTTTGTGTTGACTGACTGATCAACAATTTGGACTTCACCTTTTCATACCTCGTATTTGTTACTATTCCCTTTTTTTATTCACGTTTAGTAACATTTTCATTTTTTTGTCACATTTAATGCACTCTTGGAAAGCAAAAACACAAAGTCACCCAGCCCCACCCCCAGCCTTCAGTAGTTTTCCAATTCTGCTATCTTTCCTCAACAACTGCAAGCTGAAAGGTAAGCATTCCTGAATCACAGCTTCCACAGCACAGGGGGCTCTTGGCACACAAGCATCTCGCTAATGAAAATATGTATTTACAAAGACAGCAGCAGCTGTGCATGCCAGCTCAAGTAGACAGTGTAGCAGTGCCAAGCTAAATGCAAACTGCAGTGCAAAACGAGTTCGTTTGTGTTGCTCTCAGTTCAAGCCCTTTACAGTTAAGAGTCATAGTGATTTACAGCAGTGGTCAGGAATTTACAGAATACCGAGGTCAATGTTATCTTCCAACAGCTGTGGTTCCAAGATTTTTAATCTTATGACCCTTTAGTACTGTCTACCAAATGTCTACTGAAAACCATTTGTCATTCTGTGCATGTGACCTTTAATTAATGATTTTCAGATTATTTTAATAGATATTTTGTTATGCCCAGAAAAGTGTTGACTTTAATTCAAAAGCCAAAGACAGTCTATGTTCTACACCTCACATTTTTTTAACAGTAACAAAAAAAATAAAATAAAATGGGTCAGTTGAATTTTGTGAAAAAAATGGTTGACACAATGACTTCAGCAAACTTTTGTCATTCAAACCTAACATTAGGTTCACAGTTTACAAAAGAACTGGTTAAGAAAAACATACCCAAAAACAAACTGATAGAAGCAATATAAAACCACCCCATAAATTTCAATTTTCAAAACACTATACAGGAGTATTTGGAGCCACACATTTCCAGACAGCAGTCTTTTAATATTTAAGGTAAGGAATCAATGAGACACAAGTCTCACACTGTTAAAGTAATTTACAAAGAGTGTAAAACAAGGCAAGCAAAGCAAAAGAATAATATCCACCATCACATTGTTCATAACCAAATTGCACAACGTTCATTATAGCTATGGATGCATGGGCATCCAACCAATGAACAGCAATAAATCTAATCACATCAAATCTAGGCTTAAAGATAAGATAATGTCCAAAACAAAGTCAGGGTTCAAAAACATTTTTTAAAGAAAAAAATAACCATCAGGTTTGGGAAACTGCAGGTATGTGCCAAGTAGGGATGGGTATCGTTTAGGTTTTATCTGATACCGGTGCCAAATCGGTACTTTTGAAACGGTGCCGGTGCTTAAACGGTGCTCGAACCGGTGCTTAAAGAATGGAGAACACAAACTTTGTCCAAAAACCTCTCATGTTCAGCTGGGGTTTTTTGTAAAAAGATAACAATGTGTGCCTTTTCTGCAGCTATGGGGCATATATGGCATCACTCTTGGCTGGAAGCAGTGCTTAAACAATGGAAAAAACACAAACTTTGTCCAAAAACCTCTCATGTTTAACTGTTTCCCACTTTTTCTTTGGTCATTTTAGCCTTTTTGGCCAGGGTGAAGCGAGTATCTGCCATCAAACAAGAAGACAGCCGCATGTAGCTATGATGATGTTTGCTAGTTCACCTTACATGCATTAATGTAATAACGTGGTTAGCCTACTCAACGTAAATTACACACGAACAACATGAAGCTACTCATGCAGAGAAGAACGGCTGCTGCTGCATCATCATCCTCATCATTTCTGCTACACTGGCAGGGCTAGGGGCCAGGACTCTATTCTTCGGGTTTTTGGGGGATGTTGCTCCGGGTCCGATAACTGGCAACCCACCCGACGTGCACGGTGTGAGGTCTCGCAGCAAGCTATCAAATACGGCGCATTTCTCGGCTTTTAAAAAAAAACCGCTATGCGTCGCCAGCTGTTTCATCGGATTCTTGGTGTTACCTCCTTTGACAGTATCACAGTATCAGCTTAAAGCACTTGTTGCAGGCTGCTGAGTTTGCATCTTTTGCTGTGAAGTACAGGCAGACTTTTGACCGCTTCGCCTTGGACATTTTTAATCTGTAGCTCTGCTCTAACTGAACGTACGTACCTGGCCCCGCCTACTATCCTCGGAAACGTAAAATTATTGGCTAGAAGTGTATCACAGCTCAGGAAAAAAAGCACCGAAATAAAGCACCGAAATGTGCGCTGCTTTTCGGTCTGGTTACTACCGTTTATGTCAGAACCGGTGCCATCATGGCACCGGACACCGGTACCCATCCCTAGTGCCAAGGTAACCAAACACTGTGTATGGATATGTTACATCTGTTTTTCTCACTGAATAATGGATAGGAGTTTTCATGTATGACTTATTTGGGTTCATTTCATGTATAATTGTTAACAGGAATGTATTTTATTCCAATGATAATGTAGCTAGTTACTTTAGGAAAGCTCAGCACACTATAGAACGGAAGCTCTCTCTATTAGGAATACATCTAACAGAACAACGGAGTCCAGTTAAACTGAACTTGTGTGGTTTAAAACTGCTTTGTACCTTCTCTATACTAACTGAAGACTCCAAAGCTGAAAAAGAAACACTGAAATTGCAAAAATCATCAATGTTCCTGGCAAACAAATTGGCAACCACTGATCATTTTCACACATCATTTGTTCATGGATTTGGTTTATTATGAAACAACACCTACTCAGGCAGGTGGCTCAGGAGTTAGAGCATGTCATCACTAGACAGGCGGTTCAATCCTTGAAAAAGTGCTTGTATGAATGTGTGTGTGAATGGTGTTTAAAGTACTTTGAGTAATCAAGTAAAAAAGCACTATATGAGAACCAGTCCATTTACCCATCTCCAGTCTTTATGCTACACAAACTACCATCTAGCTTCAGCTCCTTAGTTAATGAAGAGTCACAAGAGGTTTGCTGTTAGAATTATGAACAGAATTAATGGAGGAAAATTCACTGGTTACTTCAAAGGAGAGAATTCGTGTTAGAGCCAGTAGCTAGATATAAATTTAGGCATTTACTTCCAGAATTTACATAGACTGTTGTAAGTATACCTAAACTCTTTCACCACAGCAGGGCCATTGTGGCTACTACATTATTACTGCTGCTAAATGGAAACCTGACACCAAGATAGTGAACCTTGAACTATAGAGTAGCAGAAGACAACACTGTCAACTAAGCACAATAAAGAGTCAGTTGGAGTAGAGCCCCACCATCATCCCATCCTATAGTCAAGACTACTAAAAAGACATAAGCTCTGGATGATCCACCACACAGTCTGCTCCAGCCCCAGTTTTCAGCCCTGGACTCCTGGACATTTAAGATTCAGCTTTATCTGGTTTGCATAGGCAGCAACCTGCCCAGTCAACCTTTCTGACCTGCTCCCTGTTCCCTCAATATCCCAACCCCTTTAAATTCTGCAATAAATATTAATCTTTCTATAGAACTCTAGCTTCCTATCTGTTTGTGTTGTCAGCTAATCCTCTTAGCTATGGGTCATCGGATAGGAGAGTGGTTATTAAAATATGTAACCAATAAGCACTGCAAGGCAACCAAGTGTAGCACAATTGTAGAGCTCAGCATTTCAAAAAAAGGGGTAAATATAACCCCTGGAAGGTTCGTGGTATAAATGATCCTTATCATTTGTAATGATCATTGTTGTGTTTTTTCATTTAGGTGTAAGCCATGGATCAGAGACGGCAGTGATTTCTTTTAGTAGTTAGACATTTATTTAAAAATACCAAGGGCGTCCAATTTAAACCCACGGTGGTTCTACTGTTCTAGGATCCAAGTGTACAAGTTAGCAAAGTGGTAGAAGGCTTCCAGTTCTTAGGCACAACAGTCACGCTTCACTGGCCACAGACTTTCAGGACCTCTGTGCTGCCTGGAGGGGAAAAACGTTATTTTAATTCGAATTAACTTAAAAACAGAGTCCAAAGTTCTCTCTCCACCCTATCCACTTTTTTCAGCTCACCTGTCTAGCTGACTCCAGTAGAGATGCTGACTCAGCCTGGCCCATCTGTTGCACCATCCTGTAGAGAGCACCTTCTTTGTTTTGCAGCAGGGTAAAGGGGTGGTCGAATTCCTGGATGGTCCCACTCTCCAGAACCTTAAAAATAGACAAATGTCCTCTTCACCAATAACGGTAAACTTACAGTCCTTTAAAAGCTAGCATGTGAAAAATATATAAAGACTGACACGCTACACAGCAATAATAATGAACTCAAATTAGTTTGAAAATGGTGCTACATCTCAAAAACTACTTTGGAAAATATATCTATAAATTGGGACGATCCTGATTGTAATCTTTACCAATATCAGTTATTTCATGGGCCCAGAACTTTAAATCCATTCACTGTGACTGATTTGTCTGTTATCCAGACATGTAACAGTCCTCTGCAGTCCTTTTTTAAACTGACAACCTGCTAAGGATGAGCCAAACAGGAACCTGGCCAGTGCATGATCGCTTTCACGATCATTAGGCATGGGTACTGATTGACAAAATGCATTTCCCACCCCTATGAAAACTGATTAACACACTGTCAGACTGAAAATGGACAGCTAAAGTTAAAATTTAAAGATCCTCAAGGTGTTCCTGAGAGATAATATGATTATAAAACATGGTTGATTGAAATTAAATTAAACTGCACTGAGACAGAAGAGATGACTCACAAGTATGCGGTCACTGTCTATAATGGTGTTGAGGCGATGCGCGATAGTGATCACTGTGCATTCTTTGAACTTGTCTCGTATGGTTTTCTGGATCAGCTCGTCTGTCCTGTAATCACAGCAACAACCAAAACACAGTAGAAACATATGGGAGAGGTGTGCTGAGAAAACTAGTGGATGTGTAATGACATTTCTGTGTATGCTTTATATGTGCTGGCAATGTGTTTGGAGGACCTCAGGTCCACGTTAGCTGTGGCTTCATCGATGATGAGGATGCGGTTCTTCCTCAGGATGGCTCTGGCTAGACACACCAGCTGCCTCTGACCCACACTGAAGTTGGAGCCCGACTCAGCCAAGACAGCCTCCAACTTTCCAGGGAGCTCCTCCACCACAGACTTCAGCTGTACCTTTGTTTATACGGAGCAACCATCAAGAGCTGTCTTTGGTTTATTCTTTAAAACAATGTCCTTGATTAGAGTTTCTAAAAACAATCAAATGACATATACAGTGCATCCAAAAAGTATTGACAGTACTTCACTTGCTTCACAGCCTTATTCCAAAATAGATGAATTTCATTTCTCATAAAGTGAAATAAAAACACTGGTGGCCACAAGTGCTATACCCCAGAATCCTAGCAGATGCACCTATGGTAAAAATCCTAGGTGTCTTCCTAGGAAACATGACCTCTGACCTTGATCTTGAGGTTGAGGTCACAGAGATTCAAATTCGTGGTTCAAACTATAATATGAATTTGAAAATCCTACGTCGCCTAGTTCTTGAATTTTTGCATTCGCAAACTTGGGTAAGACCGGTGATGACAGCACTCCCTCAGGCTTTTACGGTTGAGGCATAAAAAGTTAGCTTGAAATTCTCGCAAATTTAGAAAGTAGAAAACAAAAATACAACATGTATTTTTCAATGTACATAAGTATTCACAACCTTTGCTCAATACTTTGTTGAACCTTTGGCAGCAATTAGAGCCTCAAGTCTTTTGAAGTATGATGCTACAACCTTGGCGCACATATTTTTGTGCATTCTTCTATGCAGAAACTCTCAAGCTCCATCATGTTGAATGGGGAATGTTGGAACACAGCCATTTTCACATTTCTCCTGTAGCTCAGTGGGGTGGCTCTGGTATCGGCCAGATGATGAGCAGTGCCTGGTTTCCTCCAGACACAAATCTTGGCATTCAGGCCAGACAGTTCAATCTTTGTTTCATCAGACCAGAGAATTTTGTTTATCATGGTCTGGAGCTCAATTTTGAGTATCATGGCAAAGCCTGTGAATACTTATGTGCCTCCTGGGCACCTCCTGGGTGAGGTGTTCCGGGCATGTCCACCGGGAGGAGGCCCCAGGACAGACCCAGGACACGCTGGAGAGATTATGGCTGTGTCCCAATTCAGGGTCTGCACGCTTGAAGTACACGCACTACGTATGGTGTGTACTATAAGTATGAGAAGTGCGGAAGTGAGATGCTTGTGAAATGGGACGGTCTAGCCTTCGTCGCGCTGTTCAGGTTGCCTAGCAACCATGATACTAACCGCGAGTAACGTTACATACAGCTTTGTTTGACAGAAATGAAGGAGAAACAAATGTTTTGTTAGTCATGCATTTTCGTCATGACATCACTTTGATTAGTTGAGTATCTGAGGCTGAGACCACGGGACTGTAAAACATGATTGTTGGGCATCATTTCTGTACTGAGCAGTCATTTCAAGATTAGTCAGTAAATAACAATTAGTTGTTCATGAGACTAAAATCATCCCACTGTGGTAATGTAAATATAATATGGACGCTGAAAGTACAAACATCACTAATGTCACACAACTTTGCCGACATGTGGCCAACAGCAATGTTTTAATGTTCTTCATTATTAAACATTCGCACATAAGTAAGTGACATCATATTCAGTACTTTGACAGTTCACTCTTCGGCCGCTCCCTTCTGCCGTATTTTGCGGAAAAATTCTCCACACCCACCAACGCGCTATGAATTGTGGGATATATGGGACCACGAAGCGTGCACCGGATCACGCTTGATATTTGGGGAAATCGTTTGAAGTACACTTCGGATTGGGACAGCCGTCGTCGCGTGGCGGTGACGTAATCGCACTTAAAATGCGTACTTCAAGCGTGCAGACCCTGAATTGGGACACAGCCCATATCTCTTGGCAGGCCTGGAAATGCCTTGGTCTTCCCCCAGGTAGCCTGGAAGAGATGGCTGGGGAGAGGGAGGTCTGGGCTTCTCTGCTTTGGCTGCTGCCCTGTGACCTGGCCCCAGAGAAACGGAAGAGGGAGGGAGGGAGGCAGGATGGATGTATGGATGGATATTTTTAATAAATTTGCATGAATTTCAAACTTTTTTTATCACTTTCTTAATATGGGTGCAAGGGGTGAAAATGAATTTAATGCAATTTAGAATTAATCTGAAACATGACAAAACCTGGAAGAAGTGAAGTGCTGTGAATAATTTGGTGCACTGCAATATTTACAATGCAATATGTATTATTAACATAAAATCACTCAAAAGAAATCCAGCTTAAGTGCATATACTGTACCTACACAGTATACTTTCTGTCTAGCCAAAGAATTTTTAACACAAAAATGCCGGTTTGATCTTTAAAGACAAAGTTAATTCATCCATATATTTTTCAAAGCATAGTTGAATCCCAGATATTTATTAGTACAAGGGTATATGTATATGATATAAGTTATGTGTATATAGATTTACAATAATTTAAGTAAATTTCTGCAATAAAGAGACCGGAGGGGAGGGCATGCTGTGAAACAACTGGAAGCTGTAACTAAAGTCCCGGATGTGATTACTAGCCTCTTCCAGAGCTTTCCACAGGTCTTCATCTCTATGCTGGTTAAAAGGGTCCAGGTTTGTCCTCACAGTGCCAGTAAACAGAACTGGGTCCTGGAAAACAAAGAAGAGAGAAGTGAGGCAGAATCACAGATATACTTGATTTGAGCATAAATACAAGGTGTATTAATCAGTTTCATACTACACATTTTCATTTTTAATTTAATTTAATTTGCTTTCATTTTGTTTTTCTTGTTTTTACTTCCTCAAAAAATAAGCCTTGAAGCCCCATATTCTTTTACCACTGCTTGGCTTACAAACGAACAGATCCTTAGAGTCAAGGGTCACAGAGGAGTTTGTTTTATAACTTCAGCACTTTGCTACAAAGCTCTACATGCAGGTCCACACAAGTGTTACATTATAAAATCCTCCCAACAGGTGATGATAACACGATAAGATACACAGCAGTGCATGGGCAGAAGCAAAGAAGAACGTGGGTACTAAACACGAGTGCAAAATTATGTAGGCCTACGATTTAAGGTCTCTCTCATCAGGCAGGTGTTCTGTGCAGCCACAATACATTTTCCTCATAAATTCCAGCTATGAAATGAAATATCAAAAAACACAATAGGCAGAATAGGTGTCATCTGATGTTGTACCTGAGGAATGATGGAAATCTTCTGGCGCAGGTCATGGAGGCCGATCTCAGAGGTCACAACACCATCGATGTAGATCTTCCCCTGGGGCTCTGCCAGGCGGAAAATAGCCGAGACCAGAGAGCTTTTCCCCGCTCCTGTTCTACCCACAATACCGACCTGACCCAGACGAACACACAGAACATCAACAGCTGATCATCACTCAGACCCACCCACTATCTGTCTGCAAACAAATGTGTCACCTTCTCTTTGGCATGAAACGTGGCACTAATCTCTTTGAGGACCGGCGGTCCGTCTGTGTCGTAGAAGAAGTTCACTCGATCAAAGGTTATCATTCCTTGGCTCAGCCAATCAGAGGGAGGATGCTGCTGAGTTTCCCAGGGCCCTTCACTCTTTAGCTCAGTGTACTCCACCACCCTCTCCACTGATGTCATCTGAAAAAAATCACAAGCTACCTTCAGCAGGTCATAACAGCATGTCATGTGAATATCTGTTAACAGAAGAAAAAAGCCTTAAATTTAAATGTCACTCTGTTTTTACCATGTTCTCCACCTCGGCACTTTGTCTCACTGTCCACTGGAAGTTTCCCATCAGTGTCACAGCATAGGTAAGAACCAGGCCTACCTCTCCAGCCACCAGCCCTAATAAATTTAAGAAGGAAAAAAAACAGACCACGTGAGTTTGTTCTTCTAAACCTATTTAACAAAGTGTTGAATTGGCCAGTGTGCTGCCAGTTTAGCTTTTGTAGCTTTAGCTTGGACTCTGGTATTGCAGTCAGTAACACATTGCCATCTTTACATAATTTTTAGTCAAATCGTTTTGTAACTGCAAAAGTACAAGATCATTGTGCAAAGAAAGTGACACTAGTAAGAGACATGAAAGCAAAAGACATATATTCACTGAGATGGTTCTACCTTCATAATATTGGGAGTGATCCTGAATGTTACTTGAGCTTTATAGCAAGACGAGTAAAGAAAAACCCTTTTACCCAGTGGATCATTTTTCTCTGTTTTATTTAAACCACAAAAGAGAAACTAAAACTGCATGCAGATACAGATCTCAAATTACATGCATCATTTGCAAGGTCTCCAATCATCAGGAGTCTAAGGAGCTTGGAAAGAAAAGCGTCTGGACTTCTTTAAATTTCCTTGAAGATGTTTCACCTCTCATCCAAGAAGCTTCTTCAGTTCTAAGAGTAATTGGTGGAGAGTCCCAGATTTTAAGCCCTATCTGAGTGTTCCCCCAAGAGGGACATGGACCCCCTATTGATCCTCTACCTAATCACACGAGCCAAGGTGTGAAAATGGGTGTGGGTCACAATCAACCAAGGTTTTGTGTGAACCCACTGTTAAGCCTAGCCCGACCCTAATCAGGAGCTTTAATTAACTAATTAATTTAAAAAAAAAAAAAAGCAAAGCCAGTAACGTAACACCGTAAATAAGACAGGACTGAGACCTTGGTAAAAATCATGCGATGCCACACAATTGCTCTGAATCAAGATAGGAACAGAATTAATCAGTATTTGAGATTATTGAAGGAGAGTTAAATGAATGGACTGTTGCAGATGATTTTTGCAGATGATGTGGTTCTGTTGGCTTCATTGGGTGGGGGCCTCCAGCTCGCACTGGAACGGTTCGCAGCCGAGTGTGAAGCAGTGGGAATGAGGATCAGCACCTCCAAATCTGAGGCCATGGTTCTCAGCCGGAAAAGGGTGGAGTGTCCACTCCGGGTTGGGGATGAGTTCCTGCCCCAAGTGGAGGAGTTCAAGTATCTCGGGGTCTTGTTCGCGAGTGATGGGAGAAGGGAGCCGGAGATCGACAGACGGATTGGGGCTGCAGCTGCAGCAATGCAGACGCTGCACCGGTCCGTCGTGGTGAAGAGGGAGCTGAGTGTAAAAGCGAAGCTCTCAATTTACCGGTCGATCTACGTCCCTACCCTCACCTATGGCCACGAGCTGTGGGTAGTGACCGAAAGAACGAGATCGCGGATACAAGCAGCAGAAATGAGCTTCCTCCGAAGGGTGGCTGGCCTCTCCCTCAGAGTAGAGCAGCTGCTGCTCCACATCGAAAGGAGCCAGCTGAGGTGGTTCGGGCATCTGACAAGGATGCCCCCTGGGCGCCTCCTGGGTGAGGTGTTCCAGGCATGTCCACCGGGAGGAGGCCCCGGGGCAGACCCAGGACACACTGGAGAGATTATATCTCTCGGCTGGCCTGGGAACGCCTTGGTATTCCCCCGGATAAGCTGGAGGAGGTGGCTGGGGAGAGGGAGGTCTGGGCCTCTTTGCTTAGGCTGCTGCCCCCGCGACCCGGCCCCGGACAAAGCGGATGAAGATGGATGGATGGATGGACGTTGTTAATTCTTTACCATCTCTGAGTAATATCAAGCCAAATGCTGTGAGGGTAATAAATATGGAGCAAATGCTGTCGAGGCGTAGTGCAAACCAGCGGGAGGTCATCAGGAACAAAAACCAGGCCTCTGAAACAAAAGAGCAGAAAAAAACCTGAGACTGAGTTACTGAGATTTGAACTTGAGTCAACAATACTCCATCAGCATTTTACAGCTCAGGGGTACAAAACTGCAAAGGCAGACTTATTTTTTGTATCTGGATTACTACAGGGCAAGTAATAGACTTGGTTTGTCGTTCAATTTCTTATTTGTCTTCTTTTTGCTTCGTTAAGCAGATACATCATACATTGAAACCCTGACTGCAGTTGCCTGGGTTCAAGTCTTCACCATTTTGCTGCATGTCTTTCAAAAATGCACCATAGTAAAGTTGTCTCACAGAATTTTTGGACTTAACACTGAAAATTAATCAGGCACTTTACAAATTCCAGTCAGCCTGGAAAGTGTAAATGTTTATTCTCAAAGAGTAAACCTGAGTGAAGGTCCTGATGGGCATCAAAGTCTTTCTTTAACTTCTCTTCTGATCTGGAAGCTCTGATTGTAGAAAGACCATTAAGGGAAGAGGACAGGTGTGAGAGAACTGGACTCCGAGCTGTAGAAAGGGCAAAATGAAAAGACAAGAACTACTTTTGCTGGCCCTTTCAGATTATTTTTTCCCCCAAAACAAATTATATAAATAATAAATCAACATACTTGTTGACTCAAGGCGTTTGATATCACGTGAGGTACGAAGGTACAAGCTCCTCAAATACAGAAAGATTAACAGGAGAGGCACAACAGGGATGAGGATGAGAGGAATAACTGAGGCTGCCACCGCGATAACGCCAACATTCTGTAAAAATAACTTAAAAAAAACATCATATAATGAAAAATAATGAAAACACTGAAAGATCTTGTTAAGTCAAAATAAAGAAAACATGGACCAAGGTAATGAGTGCTACACCTTCTAATCATTTAAGTAATAGTGGCAACTGTCAGTTCATGAAATTTCTTCCCTCCTAGATATTCCACATTCAGCTTTAAGTGGAGCCATTTAGCAACCACAGCATGAAGTTGCAGAGTTACAGAGTGGGGTCACTCTGCTGAGGCACATAGCGCGTTTAAAAAACTACCAGTGCTCAAAAAGCATACAAAAACTCTATGCTGGAAGTCCCAAAAACGTGATTATGTTCATCTGGACGTAGTGTTTTCAGTGGGAGAAACCTCCGGCAGAACCAGGCTCAGGGAGGGGCGGGGCCATCTCCCGTGACCGGTTGGGGTGGGAGAAGGAAAACAGGATAAAAGACATGCTGTGGAAGAGAGCCAGAGATACCTCCCCAACCTTATAAACAGCACATTTGTACAATGACTGAAACCAGACCAATGAATGAACAATGGGCTGTGGGGTCAGTTCCTTGATTGTTAATATGCAAATTGCCATGACCATTGATCAACAATTACTGATCAAAGCCCATTGATCAAGGGCATGGGTAAAATTCACAGAGAGTTGGGGTATGGCTGCAATCACAGCATTGTAAGTTGGTGAAAGATGTACCCTTAGGCCCCCTCCTCGATTCAGAGATGGTCTTTCCCTTTTCACGTAAATGGCCTCCTTGACTCCACGCTCAAACCAGCGTTCCTCCCTATCCAGGATGTGTAATCCTCATAAACTTGGGGAAACCTGCAGTCAGTCCAGACTGAAGAAGTCACTTGGATGAGTGATGAAACGTTTCTCCCACAAAATGCTATGTCAAGATGAACAGAATCAATTTTTTGGGATTTCCTTACATGGATGATTGAGCATGTATGCTTGAAGGTTCATAGCATGGGTTTCTGTGGACAAGCAGCTCCTGTAAATGTAACATGGTGTAGGTGGCACAGTATTTTTGTCTACATATGTATATAATTTATGGTAGTCTTTACTTGATAGAAGTCCACAAAGGTGATAGGTAGCACGGAGTCCATTTGGCTGACATCTTTGGAAAACCTGTTGAGTATTCTTCCTACAATGCAGACACAGTTTTAATTAACAGGACTATGTTGTTAAAGGGCAGAATGTCAACTTGAAAATATTCTGTGTTATAAGTGGATGTGAGGCCTGCAGTTCAGACTTTAGGAGTTTCTGGCTAATGTGTGTGATTGCTTATTGAAAATGGTTTAAAAATGAAATTAAAAATGAAATTAAACCAAATCTGTGAGCAGAATGTGAGAAAATAACAGCTTTAAAGTTATGTCCTAGATGTTTATGCAATCTATACAGAGATCTCAACTAAAGTAAGCAGGCTAACATGTTAATACCAGCCTTAAAAGCTTTCAGTGTCTCCGGTGTTATTGGATAGTTAGCAAGATTTAATTCTGCGGTTTGTCTTTTAAACATTGGGGATTGATACCTACGAATTTTCCAGTGAAACACTGCCCCAATTGGTGACAGTTTTGATTTATTTTTGAATTAGAGTTGTAGAGGCTAAGCCTACGCTTGAAGCCACTGAGGTGGTCGTTAACGGGGGTGACGCGATGTCACTGGTATGCATGAATTAAGTTCACAGTCCAATAAATCCAGCAGTATGTATCTTGTCCTTTTTGGTCTTTATTCTGTATCGCCTTAGCATAACAGCGCAACGATCACAAACTGTTTGCCTTCTCAATGACACACCTGACGCCGATTACGTGCGTCTACCTTAAATACCTTTACATTACATAATCAAAACAGAAAAAGGTGACCTCTAGTGACCACATAAGGTATTAACCCAAGAATGGCTCCTACACCCCGGCCCCTAATTGAAATGGCTATCAGACATGGCAATTCTAATCACAAAGAAAATAAGGAGCCACTAATACAGTCTACTTTAGACCTATACATTCACATAAATAAACATAAGTAACACACTTTTAGATTACAGTCTCATGTAACAAGCAAAGTTTAGTTACAGGTCTTTCCAGAATATTAGTCTTTGTTTTTAAACGTGCAGATCGCACAAGTCCTTTTTTGTCACGAATGGCTTCCAGAACTCTTCCAAGTGGCCAGGAACCACGCGGTGCAGAAGAATCCATTATAATGACTATATCTCCAGGTTTTAGATTCTTCTTCTTTTGGTTCCATTTTTGTCTCTCCTGTAACAAAGGCAGGTATTCGCGTATCCATCGTTTCCAAAAAAGATCTGAGATGTACTGAGCCTGTTTCCATCTTCTCTTCAGATACATATCCTGAGGGTCAAATAGTCCGGGTGGTAAAGATGGTTTTCCTTTCATCAGGAGGATGTGATTTGGTGTAAGTGGCTCTAGGTCTTTTGGATCATCAGAAAGCTTTGTGATGGGTCTGTCATTTAAAATTGCTTCAATTTCACATAGAACCGTATTTAATCCATCGTCGTCCAACTGTTGTTGCTGAAGAACGGATCTCAGAATTCTTCTGATCATACGAATTATCCGTTCCCAAGTTCCACCATGATGTGATGCTCCAGGCGGATTAAAACTCCTGGCTCCTACAAGAGTCTTACATTTTACACCTTTAAACAATGGACCATGGTTCAGGGGGTTGGGAAGCTCATCTTGTAACCGGAAGGTTGCCGGTTCGATCCGAAGCTCTGTTTGTCTTGGTCGTTGTGTCCTTGGGTAAGACACTTCACCTGGTGATGGCCAGAGGGGCTGATGGCGCGATATGGCAGCCTCGCTTCTGTCAGTCTGCCCCAGGGCAGCTGTGGCTACAACTGTAGCTTGCCTCCACCAGTGTGTGAATGTGAGAGTGAATGAATAGTAGAATTGTAAGCGCTCGGAGGCTCTAGAAAAGCGCTATATAAATGCAATCCATTATTAACAAACACTAGGCAGATAAATATGTGACTGTTTCCTCTTAAAAATAAAAATAAATCCTGTGTAGGCCTCACCTATGGGGTTGACATCAAAGAAGCTAACAGGAGTGTGGAGCACAGCACTAAACATGCTGTTGTGAAGAGTCTGAGCTGATCTCACCAGCCCATGAAATATCACCAAACTCCTGGCAAAACCAAAGACCACAGCTGCTGCTGTCAAACCTAAAAGTAAACACAGCAGGACTATATTAAAAAAATAGTTTGGTATTTGATTTACAGCAGGATATTCTACCAAGTAATATAACATAATGGACACTAAACACATGGTAGTCAACAATAGTATGTGAAGATTTCAGTAAGAACTACAGGACTGAAAGGCTTACCTGAATAAATGCTGAGGTAAAACGAGAGATTAAACTCTTGGTATGAACTAGTAACATTCATTCCACTTTTAAGGCTAACAGCAGTGACTCTGCTGTTTGTGCCGTTTGTAAAATCATCTCTTGCCCTGTCAGGTGAGAAGACAATTAAACAAAGAACATCACTTAAACAGTCTAATAAAATGTTCTGTAATTAAATGAATAGAAAAGTAAGCTACTGGCTATACAGAACTGGACTAAAGTCCTGATCTACCACTAATTTCTTTATACTTTGCTTGCAAAATGGGACACACGTGTAGTGAGTTATTGAAAACATACATAGAAATGCAGAACAGAAGGAAAAAATAGATTTATTATTTTTTTGCCTTCCCACTGTCCCCAAAGCGCTTGCTGTTTTATCAAATCTCTTTGTAGGGCCTTTACATTACAATATATCTAAAAACGTTTTAGCTCCTTAGAAGCAAATTATAAAGAAATGAGGTGTATCTCAAGACTTGCACAGTGTTACACAGTACTAAAAGTGTGTTGAGTTCTCACCAGTATACCAACCACCAGTCCTGAAGGATATATGCCACCTATTGAAAAGAAACAAACAATAAAAAAAAAAGGTTCAACTTGGTTTTGTTTCTTATGTTCACAATGAATAAAAACATTGCATTAAAAATCTCCATTCACTTGCTAATGGTACCATAAGAGGTCTGTGACTTACCTCAGCTAGAATACTGAGAAATAATATAACCATTAAAACCAGAAGGCTACAGCCTGCCGTGAAGTATGTAAAATAAATGTGACTGCTGACATTTCCTTCAGCTCGTGTCTCCTCTGCAATAGTTTGAATAGCTTCAACCTGCAAAACAAGAAATGATCCAGGCACATCTTTATACTTGAACATAGTTTTACTGTTTGTAATCTCAGAACAAAGCTGACACTTCATGATAGTGCATCTAAAATAATATTAGTGAGAAATATATATATCATGAAAACCTGACCTCAACTCAACAGAACACCTTTAGGATGAATTAGAGCAAGGACCGTGAGCTAGTCCTTCTTGTCTGACCTGATAAATGTGTTTCTGGATGAATGGTCAAATGAGCAAATACTTTTGACAGTATAGTTTTTTCTTATATATTTATTACATGTAACGTGAAATTTGACTGAAAGGAACCGTAGAGTAGGAAAAGGTGAGAATTCTTTCAAAGCTGTTGAAAGGATTGTCAAGAATAGCTGATTTAAGAAATTGGGAGACCTCACATGGAGCGGAAATGGACACATAAAGATGAGCTGAAAGCTGCCATCAAAGCAATCTTAGCTTCAGTAACAACTTTACAGTGCCTGCATGCTGATTACCTACACACCACATTACATGGATGCAGTAATTCAGTGTTAAGTGTATAAGTGCAGTGTATATGTACCATCCATTACCATATCATGTACCATGAATGAACACCACACAGCACCATATCAGCTCAATAAAGCACTTCACTCTCGGACTGCAGGCTTACTTGTTGTTGCTACAATATTTGGAAGGCAGAGCCTTCAGCTTTCAGGCCCCTCTCTGTACAGCCAGCTTCTACTATGGATTCAGGAGACAGACACCATCACTACTTTTAAGATTAGACTTTTTATAAAGCATTAGTAAGAGCTGGATCAGGTGACCCTCAAGCCTCTTTTAGTTACACTGCAATAGGTCTAGGGTGCCATGATGCGCTAAGTGTTTCTTCTTCACTCATCTTTTTTTACTTTTTAAGAGGTTGAGGATTTGAGATAGTTGATTTGGGGTTAAATTTTCTGTGTTGTTTTAATTTTCATACATTTTCATGATTTTATTACTTCACCCCTTCACTTCACCCGTTGCCTACTGGTGGTGGTCAGAGGGCCCGGTGGCACCAGTGTCCGGCAGCCTCGCCTCTGTCAGTGCGCTCCATGGCAGCTGTGGCTACAATTTAGCTTGCCATCAGCAGTGTGTGAATCTGTGTATGAATGTGTGTGTGAATGGTGAATGACTGAATGTCGTGTAAAGCACTTTTTGGGTCCTTAGGGACTAAGTAAAGCACTATGCAAATACAGGCCATTTACCATTTATTAACACATTAACTAATTACTTAGAGCAGGGGTGCCCAATCCCAGTCCTCGAGAGCTACCGTCCTGTAGCTTTTAGATGCATCCTTGTTCAAATCAAATGAATCAAATGAATGGCTTGTTATCAGGCCTTTGCCAAACTTGATGGCATGCTGAAGAGGTAATCAAACCGTTTGATTCAGCTGTGTTGGAGTAGGGATGCATCTAAAAGCTGCAGGACAGTAACTCTCGAGGACTGGGATTTGGCACCCCTGACTTAGAGTAAGTGAACTTCTCCAATAGCTACCTGAAGTTAGCATATCTTTTCTAGCCAAATGGCTATCAGATAATATCTACAAATGTCACATATTAGAAGAAGTAATAAATGGACTTGTTTATATACCATGGTACCATATAGAAACTTTAAAGAAAAAGAGAAAGGACAATGCATGGGGGTCTATGAAAATTAATTACATTTTTAAAAAACTGAAGGTAAAACAACACTATTTTGTAAAAATAGCAATGTTCAATCTCTTTAGTAAATATACATACAGGAAGATGCTCAGTGTAGGTGCTTTCTGGTGGAAGGGGGCAGTTGAGGAAACAGTGTGAACTGTGAGAATCATTTGTCCACCGACTTTGTAAAGACAGTTTTTCTGGGTCAGCAAATGGAGACAATTGCTCCTGCTCCTCATCACGTCTCAGCAGGGACACCATATCGAGGTCAGAGGACTGCAGCTCACTGTAGCTTCCCTGGACCATGATTTGACCCTAAAGATGCAACAAAGGAAATCAGTTACTGGACATCTAGGCTGCTGTTCTTTTGGTATATGGATAGTCCAATGGGGGGAAAGGGGGTTGTTCACTGTTTGTAACCCCTGTAGGCTCTACCCTACAGGGGTACCCCAAGACAAACCTTTGCACTTAACCAAGTGAATCTGGAATCTGGGACTCTATAACCCCCTAAAACCCAGTGCATACAATCCTCATCTCCCTTTGAAACACGGGAACAGGTAGAAGTCAAAGGCGTCAAAGGCTTCAATGTAGGAAAGTGTTTACTGAAACTTCTCCAAACAAAGAAATCAAACTCATAAAACCCGAGAAGAATGAGTACTGAGGTCAATCTTAAGGGTGGGGTCTGTATGGTCAATGAAACTTTGGAACTCCAAATGTGTGCTCCAAACACAAATACAAAACATCTTAACCACACGGAAAACCATTTATAAATCTGTACATCCAAACCTAAATAAATGCTGCTTGTTTACGCACAACTTCAAGTTCAGAAATTTGATTATGTTCTTTCAAAAAATCTTCCTGTGCACACAAATATCTAAAAATACACATAACCCTTTGCCTCACTTACAAAACCTTAAGTGCACATGCACGAATCATTCATTACATACAGGTCACATCGCATGTCCACATAGGGTTTTGAGACCCAGGTAGTTTCACACAGATCCACAAATCTAAGCTGTGTTCAAGTCCCAGCAGAAAACTGGGACATCTGTGCTTCCACTGTCCACTGTTCCATTGCCAAGGTTTGTCTGACTTGATGTCAGCTGAGAGCAGAAATGTCCAGGATTAGCAATTAAGCTAACAATAATGTTGCTGTTTTCAGAGAATAGTAAGATTAACATCAAAGTTTTATTTCACATTAAATGGATTAGCATATACCCACTTCATAGAATGGTCCACAGTCCTGTACAACCATGGTGTTGTGAGTGAAAATTAAAGTGATGTTATGTGTATGCACAGAAAGATTTTTGAAAGAGAAGATGATCAGATTTCTTAAATTGAACTTAAAAAGTTGTGCATAAGTGATCACATGCATTTAGGTGTGGATGCACAGATTTGTAAAATACTTTTACCTGTGGTCAAAATGCTTCGTATTGTTTCGATTTTAGAAATGGTTGAAATGTCACCATTTATACATATATACATATATAGGATTATGACTAACACTGACACAAGCGACAGCATTAATAAAAACCACAGACAGATGAGTAGCAGTTATGTCCTTACAGTGTAAGACAGCCTTCTGAGAAACCTTGGATCCTGACATTCGTGGTCCTATATACACATATCACCATCTAAACAACAGGTTCTCAACAAGTGCAAATACATCTAATGGACAAGAGCTCCCCAGTTTACAGCTAAACCAGCCCCAAACATTCTTTTAAAAAGCCAAAGCCCCAGCAGGCAACCCACAGGACCGATAATGTCCAGGTGCATGAAACCACTAAACTGTCCATGATTCTGGGTCTTCTGGCCCAATGTTTTGAGTATGTTTATGTTTAAGTTTATTAGGTTCTCTAAGTT